TTTTGACACATCATATTCATAATTTAATGGTAAAAACATGATAAGAACTATGAAATCCACTCATTTATTCAATCCATGGAGTGATAGTAATAGGAGGGCCAACAACCATTTCACCTATATTCAGTTCCCTCGAGGAGGCCGCAAACAACCTTGGCCACCAACAAGGGAGCAAAGGGCGCCTTTCGAAACCTTCTTGTTATTAGCGTAACTTGTGTCATCCATACTTTTGAGGTTTGATACGTCAACAAGATGATGAGATTCAGACAAAACCGGCTCGACTTCACCTAGGTTTCGAGCCTTGGCATCAAATGTGAAAGAAATAGCCACTACCACAAGAACACAAATGCTCTATGGAAGGCCATTATATGTGTGAAATGTATTTCTTGGTACTTATTTGGTTAATGATCTAAATTTCGTGTTCATTAACCATTGCAGAAGTGTGCTTATATAGAAAAATTATAACATCGATAGCATCGACACAGACTTAAATGAGTTTAACTTCTTTATCTATAGTCAGTCCGCCTAAAATTAGGCTAAGGTAACATCATTTATTCGGACTTCTTGTAAATATGGAGAAAGAATCGTTTGATCTCAAGTTACAACATTTTTAGGATTCGAAGAATTATCACAGATGCATAAAAATACAATGTACGTGATACATCATTTGTTATAAGTTAATTTGTTATTTCGATGACTTTATAATAGTTCGACGATTTAAGGTCGATCAGAAGTTGATAAATATATTATTCTGATTGAGAACGACTTGGTAATAACTCGATTATTGGTCATATATACGCTTAGGTTCTTCGACATGTGAAGGCCGTTCTCTAATTTATGCAGAACAACAGGTCGTTGTATCGACCTATTAAAAGAAATATTCTTTATGTGATCGTCTCTACGAGATTGGGATCTCGGGAATTGCACGATTAGTTTTCAAGTAAGATATATACTTGGATATGATTATGTAAAGAAGTAAAGAACATATATAAACAAATATAAAGTGAGAGATAGAACCTAATTTGCTTTCTCTTCTCTATAAAATGATAATTAGTCGATGCTAACTAGATCGTCGAAGTGCTTATGACTTGTTCACTCTTGAAGCATTTGCAGGTAATCGAGGATCTCGTTGGACAAGAAAAGGGAGAAAACAAATCTACTTGTTGGGTGTCTTCATCACGATGATCTTAATATTGTGGCATATAGTCAAGCCGTCTATATAAAAGAAAGATAATACACAGTTTATATGTCAAATAATGCTGCAATTGGTTATTAAAAAGACGTATTATTTTTGGCCGGGTAGTTTTTTTTTTTTTACAAATTTTTTAACTCAAATCGACTCAATCTTAATCCAACTCAACTCTCCTCAATAATCAATCATCCACACAAATGACATCAATTTTAATTAACTATTCATCCACTCATAAAATTGTAACTACCTATTATTTCCAATAATATCTATCATATTTTTCCATCAAATGAATTTAATATTATATTTTAAATATTATTTAGATGCAAATTCAAAATTCCACTCAAATATTCACTCAATCATATATTTTTTTTTTCATAATTAATTCACTTTATCCATAAATTAAATGAAAATAAAAGAATTTCCAATCACCACCTAAATACCTATGGTTAGTTTAAACGAACTTGCAAGGATGAGTACAATGTCCTTACCCCTAACTCTATATATGTCTACACCAGCTAATTAAATATTAGTAGTACTTTTTACCCATGCACATGCTCAATTGAATTTAATTTGATTTTGATAAGGATTAAATAAAATTTGAATTCAAGATACACTCTAAAAAAGTTACCATGTTGTTTGGTTCTATTAGGAATGTCGAATATGTGTAAATTCAAATCTATATAAAATTAATCTTAACGCAGCGGAATCTATATAGTTAGGATTAAGATTTACGGTTAAAATTTTTGTCGACTCTGAGACGTTTCCGATTTCCTCTGTAGGAGATCGTCTGAACCACAGAGTCTGTTGGGGAGCCGAATTTAGCCTCATCAATGCGTCTTTGGCTGCTCGTCGGGTTTCTCGGACCTTCGGTAGGTTAGTCTCACTGTTCGGACCGCTCGGGAATCGCCTTGGAGTCGTACCGGAGCTGCTGGACCTGCTGGAGCGCTCCTGGACCGGGTCTGGACCTGCTGATCGTGAACTGGGCCGCTTGGAGTGATCTGAACACAGAGATTGGGCATTGGGCCTCGCAACTTGCAACTGTGCACAGAGACTGGGCCGCGCAAGCTGCATGAAAAACGCGCGAGCCTCGCGGGCTCAAGTCGTACAATACAATTGTGTTGTACGAGTTGAATATTTATGACTACCAGATTGCACACTAACAACCGAAATCGACCGAACTACATTTTTCAGTTCTAAAACTTATGTATGTTCGGATGTCTATTTTATATTTAAAATTTCGGTTCGATATCGACTTTATATTTTTAAATAACCGAAATAACCAAACCAACCGAACTATAAAAAATATTATTTTTATATTTATTATATAAAAATTAATATTTATTTTCAATAAAAAAAAGGGAAATATTATATTATTTCATGCACCGACCTAAGTGAAAAAAATAGAAATATATTGTTAATTATTACATTATTTTGCATTTTCATATGTATTAATGTAAAATAAATTTATTGCTATTATTATTTTAAATAAATAATACTATAATAATAAATAACATATATATATATATATATACTAAATATATTTTTATTATATAAATAATATTATAAATGCACACAATGTAGAAAAATTACATAAATGATCTATGTATATAAATTATTTATTTTCAACATACAATATATAAGATACTAAATATGTTTTTTTAGTATATGAATGAATTAATAATTGCACAATAACAATAGAATGAATGCACATTAGTGTCTATGGCAATGCACGCCATTAATTTTGTATTTCATATATTATGTATTTTCAATAAAAATAATATAAAATAAATAAATAAATTATTTAGAATAATTAGGGTAATTGCGACCGAATAAACCAAGTATTTTGGTTATGTTTCAAATTGGTTTGGGCAAAAGGTCAGTCGATTCATACGCACAATATCGACTTAAACAATGCACGTTGGTGTTAAACGAGTTGCACATTAATGTCTGTCAAACTGCTCATTAGCGATCGAAGTTGAAGACTAAGAATTTTCAGTCCGAATTTATATATTCCGGTTCAATTACTTGCTATTAATTCTAAAATTCGTTTATTCCGACTTCGGCATTACTCTTAAAATAACCAGAATAACCGAACCGAGTGAACTATATGAAATTATTATTTTATTTATATTTCAAAAATTATATTCTTTTAAGCCAAAAATAAAATATACAATATTAAATATAACTATAAAAAAAATTATTATATTTTATAATATCAATGATAAATATATTTCAATTAATTTGATTAATTAGATTAACCGACAAAAAAAAACCAAGTAATTCAGTTAAGTTTTAATTTGTATTGGGACAAAAGTTTGACCGATTAACAATGCACAATAACATCAGAAAATGTGCAAATAGTGTTAGGTGAATTTCACATTTATGACTATCAAACTGCAATAGACAAGCGATTTGTTCCCCAAAAAAACCTAGCCTTCGTCGCCTCAATTTTCGGCCAGTTGACCTCCTGCCGCGTCGGCGAGGCCGGGCCGGCGGTCGCCTCGACTGCCCGGCTTGTCCCTGAAGCCATTCTCTCTCATCCCCGGCTATGATTGGTGGCATCGTCGGTCTGGCCCAAAGCTGCCGGCAGGCTGAATTCGCGGGTTCTCTCCCTCGAGCGGGGTCCGGTGGCTTGCAGGTTCTTGGAGCAGGCAGTTGTCTCTGGTAGGGGGAGTTGGTCTCTCGTCCTCGACGGTTCAGCGCCTTGGTGCCTCCCATGGGTCATTTGCAGGGGCGACTCCGCTGAGTTCTGGAGTCGGGTTGTCAGCCGTAGTGGTGGCGAAGGGATGGCGGTGGCCAGTGGATGGGGAGGGGCTCCGGTGGCCCGTGTTGGTGCTGCCGGAGTAGGGTCTCAAGCTTCAAGCTGGTCCTTCTCTCCGGCTCTGTCGATGTTTGGTCGGAGTTCGATGCCCCCGAGTAGCCTAGTGGTGTTAGGTGCGCTTGGGGTGTGTCGGTTTGGGGTTGCTCGCCTACGTGTACCCTCGGTTGGTGGCAGATCGGCTCGTAGTTTGGTTCGGGGG